TGCACTCCTGTCCCCTTCTTTCTTTACCTGCCTACGTATTTTTTACTTTCATTCACCATCGCTAATGCACTCCTTTCTTTTTCCTCCTCATCTTTTTTCCCTTTGCCACATTCGTCGTTTGCGGGGGTGACAATTCACCCTCACAGCGGTCCCCATGCAAGTTCTAGGTAGGTCAAATTGATCTAATTTTCTTTAATCTGATTTCGCGCTGTTTGGAATGGCAGAATGGCACACAGTTAAATGTATCATTTGGAGCGGCGTAAAAATACCACAATTAGAACAGGTTTTAAGTTTTAACGTAACTTTGTTGGTAGTTTGAGTTTACTATGTCGATATTCTCTGAACTATCCGCCAAAGACTGTGACGAGGTAGGAGGAAGACGAAGGAACAGGCCACTCCCCTCGGTGAAATTTCGCCCGTTTCAGTCCGCGGAAAGTGGCTGTCTGGTAATGACGAGGTCCAGACTCGGTCGACCACCAAGCTATGCTCTCGGACAGCGCGGCTTGTAATAACAAACTACATGTTTCGTTTCAAGACTTAATGACGTTGTTTTGTTGTTTTTATAAGCTATCTCAGGAAAGCCGTCATCCCTTCCCGCCTCCCCTTCCCGAGCGTTGCCAAGTACCCGGTCCGTCTCGAATTTCGATATCCACATTCCACATGTCGAGATCGTGTGAATGCAGGGATGCAGGGCCTCTTTGCTCCTTCATTTTGGAAGCTTCTAACTTTCTCAAATTTGTCCAAGTTCATGGTGACGACTTTCATCCTTTTTATGCTCTCAGGTCGCCTTGGAAGTATCCGTGAAATATTTCATAAAATATCACGAAGTTGTGAAGAGTGGAACATACTTTCAGAGGCTGGTTATGCAACACGCACTACAAAACACCAAGAAGCATTAACCATTCACCTCTTCATTTAATTTTCCATCGAATTTCGAACAGAGTTTTTCAATATCTCTCATGTTTTCATGAAATATTTTACATGAAATTTCAAAATTTTAATTCGTGACAAATTGCAACCCTTTAGGTCGCTGATTGAGACATCCAGCAGCGTTGCTACTTCTGGGAAAACTTGGTAAACTTAGCCCGGTCCGTCTTGCTAATCGCACAGGCGTGTCTCTTGATGATTTCTGAATTTTTTTCAACCCTTAATGGCAAAGAAACTCCGATTTGAAAATGTTAAAAATAGGAAGTTGAAGCGATATTTTTCGCGGGCTTCAATGACGTAGCAAGGCGGACGGAACAACGTTTGCCGATTGGCTTAATTCAGCTTTCACGCATCGTCTTGCTACGTTAATTCGACCTTTCGTTTTTGCACTTTTTGATAAATTGTTCGGCAATTTCGCCAAATTACCCGTAAAAATAATCGTACAATAACCCTGCAAAAATTCCTTGCCACTGCTCTTTCTTCAAATGAAGCTCGTCTCACCCTTCGGACTCATGTCAGCCACATGTCGACCGAAACTTCAGATTCTCAGAAGAAGAGCACAATACGGCTGTTTGCCGGGGTGGCTCTTTGGCAACTCAGCGGGGACCGCGGTGGGGGAGGGGGTGTTGGAATCCCTGCAAAAGGGAACGGGGAACCGAGAAAGTGAGTCGTCGTCGGCCCGAGACTTAACAGCCGAAAACACCCACACGCCGCATCCCATCACCAAGATGACTCCTGGTCCCCGACAACCCCCCGCCCCTCTCCCCTTCTCTTCCCTGTCTGCCCTCGGGGTTGCCACCGGCGAAGACCTCGGCCTTGCGCCTCTTCGCCCTAATTTCGCTCCGTTCCCAGAAACGAAGCCCCTGCCTGCTGCCCCTGCTGTCGGCTCCGGCTCCACCGCCAGCGCTCGTCACATCCCCGGACGAAATATTCACTGAGAGTCAAGACAATTCGGCTCATGGATGTCACAAACGGGAATAAAGATTACAGAAATTGAACGTTTTTCGTAATCTTTGATCGGCCCATTCTCAAATGCCTTTCTCCGTTCCTCCTCTCATTCCGTTTGTTCCTTGCCGAACCCGTAATTCCCTGGTCCATTCCGGATTATAATCTTTGCAATTGGTGAAAATGTAATCTTTATTCCCGTTTGTGACACTGTGGAGGCCTAAAATACGGGAACCAATCAGAAATGGATTCAAATTGTCTTGACTCTCAGTATAAAGGGACTCTAATCGGCTCATTCTTAAATTCTTTTCTCCGTTCCTTCTCTCATTCCGTTTGTTCCTTGTAGAACCCGAAATTCCTCGGTCCATTCCAGATTATAATCTTTGCAATTGGTGAAAATGTAATCTTTATTCCCATTTGTGACACTGTGAAGGCCTAAAATCCGGTTAACCAATCAGAAATGGATTCGCATTGTCTTGACTCTCAGTATAAAGGGACTCTATATCTCCCTGTAGAGACGCGAGATCACTTGCGACGAGACCTCACATGAATCCCTCTGCTTCCGCGAATCGGATAGACGTGGAAGACACTGACCCAGAGAGAAAAGTGCAAGGTAAGTTTACGTTTGGGAGTCTCGGGCTCCGGAGTGCTGACTCGATGCTTTCATCGCAGTCCACGCTCCCGATCCCGCTCCCGTTGGCGGTCGGATCGCGGTGCGCGGGTGCCGGATTCACCGAGAAAACCCGGCCTTTCCGGGGCCAACACTCGCCCGAGCTAGAGTCCCTTTATACTGAGAGTCAAGACAACACCCCTCATGGAGTCACAAACGGGAATAAAGATTACACAAATTGAACGTTTTTCGTAATCTTTGATCGGCCCATTCTCAAACTCCTTTCTCCGTTCCTCCTCTCATTCCGTTTGTTCCTTGCCGAACCCGTAATTCCCTGGTCCATTCCAGATTATAATCTTTGCGATCGGTGAAAATGTAATCTTTATTCCCGTTTGTAACACTGCGAAGGCCTAAAATACGGGAAACCAATCAGAAATGGATTCGCATTGTCTTGACTCTCAGTATAAAGGGACTCTAGGGCCAACACTCGCCCGAGCCCTTGACCCTGCCGCCTGCCTCGCGAGAAAGAGAAAACAATCAAACACCGATTCATGAATAAATGAGCCGGTCCGATTGAACTCCCAGCGCTTGGATTCTTCCGCCCTGAGACGACAGATTTCAGAGACAATCTAAGCGATACACTGCCGTGCTGAGGAAAAACGCCGTATGAACCTTCAGGCGTTGTCAGATTCCGATTGATAAAACACGAATTTGCGGGTAAACATATGAATGTTTTCCGTCCAATTTTTTAGATGATGTTGCTCGCAATTTCACATGAAGTTCCTGAAAATCCCAAGAAAAAATAGCCATGACTTTCCTAAAAAATTGACATTTGTTTTAAGGAAATTTGGCACCTCTCGAAGGTTCACACGGCGTCCTTCCTTAGAACGGCAGTATTATCGTGTACTGAACAACTAGAATCCGGAGATCAACGCTAAATGCCAGGGCAAGCCCTTCACTAGGTAAGTACGCGAGTTTTCGGAAAATTGGAGCGGACTGCTGCACCACGCATTCACTCAACTCATCTACTTGTCCCGGCTGTCGGAACGCTGTACTGTGACGGCACTTTTTCAGTGCTTTCCAAAAAAAACAGGGGACCACCTCGACAGAAAATCTCAGTTCTGACAAAATTTTCCAAATTACAACACTTCGAAGTTCTTTCCTGGCGCGCAAATAAAAGCGTGGTATATGGCAAAAAATTCCGAACCTTCTTGCGGAATTTATGCGTTTTCCCAGTGCTACTTTAAGACTTTCCAGATCAGTAAACGCTTCATAATTGGACGTTTATAGTTGGCTTCCGAGAGTAACTTTTATATATTATATGGAAGATGGGAGTGCGCGGCACGGTCTCTGGAATATTTTAGAGTCCCTTTATACTGAGAGTCAAGACAATTTGAATCCATTTCTGATTGGTTCCCGTATTTTAGGCCTCCACAGTGTCATAAACGGGAATAAAGATTACATTTTCACCAATTGCAAAGATTATAATCTGGAATGGACCAGGGAATTACGGGTTCGGCAAGGAACAAACGGAATGAGAGGAGGAACGGAGAGAGGCATTTGAGAATGGGCCGATCAAAGATTATGAAAAACGTTCAATTTCTGTTATCTTTATTCCCGTTTGTGACATCCATGAGCCGAATTGTCTTGACTCTCAGTACATATAAAAGGACTCTAGAGCCGATCAAAGATTACGAAAAACGTTCAATTCGTGTAATCTTTATTCCCATTTGTGACTATATGAGGGGTGTTGCCTTGACTCTCAGTATAAAGGGACTCTAGGGAGATATTCCCAGATCTACGGATTTTGCGGCTATCCTTGGGATATCTTCCAGTAAAAAAAAGTAAAAACATATTTTGCTCTGAATCCTTCATTCACTTGATGGAACCAGAGAACACTCACAACAATTTAACTTCAACACGAGATTATAAACTTTGAAAATGTATATTAACAAAAAATGAGTCTTATCAAAAACTCTAACTTTCAAATTATCTTGATTTTAACAAGGAGGACAAATTTGTTTCGAGAGCCTAATTGCTCCCATCTTCAGCGGGGTCCTTCTCGTTAAAATCAAGGTAATTTGAAAGTTAGGGCCTTTGATACGACTCATTTTTTGTCAACACTCACAATATCTGGTTGATGCTGCCAGAAATTCTGATTCCTCGATACAACCAGAATGGAAAACTTGCAGGTGCCTGAAATTACAGGAGTTATGAACAAATGACCTAATCTACTGAAATACACGTGTTTAAATGGGAAATACCGCCTGGTGAAGTCTCGAGGCGGCAGATTTTCTCACTTTTAATCATATATTTCTATCATTTTCCATATGAGAAAAAAATAATTAAAAATACCGCGAACTCAGCCTATTGAGAACTCTCAGATGCAACAAAATCATTTTTGCGTGCAAGTTCTCCATTTCCGGTTTGTAACTCCCGAATTTTTGTCTTCATTTTCCTTGTTTCTATCTAACCGTTTGTTGACTATTGCTAATTGTGGTTTTGATTTTCATTTCAGGGCAAAGCCGTTGGGCAACCCCACGTCCTCTCGTTCAAAGCTAAGCTACAAGCTCAGCTTTTTGATCTGGGATGTGATATACAAAAACATGCAGGAAAAGTCCTGTTCGTAGCGATTCTGGTCTTGGCCTCCTTTTGCGTGGGCCTCAAATCCGCCGTTGTTCAGACCAGAGTCGACCAGCTTTGGATTGAAGGTAAGGGAGCATTTTTCAGTGGTCTAATCATATTTTTATGAAATTGCATGCCTCTGTTTCTCCAGAGCCTGGAAGATCAAGCCAATTATCCTTGCCTCTCATATTTAAATTGAACAGAACTTTTTCGTTATTCTAGCGTTTTCAAAAAGTAGACCGCGTTATTTCCCTCACACCCGTAAGGCACGCGACACCTGTCCTCGTCAATCGTAGTGAAACTTGAAAGTGACGTCAGAGTTCACTCATTAGAAAGAATCGAGGATACACCCTCTTCTAGCCGCCCTTCGCAATAGTGTCCTCGAAAGACCTGCAGCAGCTTCCCCTATCTTGATTGCGTTTACTTGTTTCTTGATTGAGGGTTGAATCAACCCTCGTCGCCGCCAAATTTCCTTAAATACTAAAATTTTTGATCAGTGCACTCACTATGAGTAGGAAGGATTGTGAAAATCAGTAAGACTGGATAATGGACCACTAGACAAGGTACGAATTTCAGCATTCTGATTCATGATTCGTAACTAAAATTTCTCGTAGAATACGACGCGCACAACGAAAATTACCGAATTCAACTCCTTCCAAAGATATTTAACGATTCTTGATACGTGAATTCAAACCACCCGCTCATGAAAACTCAATTCTCTTGTGATTCACATCGCGCGCTGAATGTTATTATGACAGTCTCTGCTATATAAAAATCTGGCAACCTCAATCTTGACGCTTTGGCTCAGCTATAGCAAATTGCTTACCTATAGTTTGAACAACACATTGTGGGAAATGAACATTGCTCGATTGAGAAGCTTTCTGAAACCGTTTTAGTGAGCGATTTGACTCACGTAGAGCTTTGAGTTTCTTGAGAGCGGGCAGTTCAAATTCCTCGTAACCAATGTGAAATAAAAACGATAATATCTTCGTCAGGAGTTAGTTTCAGTAATTTTCGTTGCGCGAATCGTGTTTTACGTGAAATTCTGGTTAAGAAACATGTATCAGATTGCTTAAATTCGTACCTTGTCTAGTGGTCTATTCGAGTTAATAGGTCGGCAGCTCTTTTGGGCCCAAGAGCTACATGACCTGATCAAACCTAACCTCCGAAACGAGTTGTCCATACTCTTCCTATGAAGGTATTCTTCTTGGCCCGATTCGGCAGCATTGTTAATCAAGTGTTGTGTTTCGGGGCCGGAACCCGCATGATAGTGTCTCCCAGCCTCTTATTTAGCACCTTTCATCTAATACCCGGCCGGGCCGAGCAGCGGCAACATCCGTCGCAGGGCCCTGCTCGCTCGCTCTTGTCTCGTCCCGTCCGTGCGCCTGCGCGGTGCGCCGACGTGGACTGCCGCATCCGGTTCCGCCGCCGCCGCCGCGAGATCCGCCGTCTCGCAGACGTTTTTTGGTCCTCCGGCCCGGAGTCCTGTCCGTCCCTCGGGATCCCTCGCCGTTTCCCACCTCGCGTCCAATCCCGCCCGCCGCGCCGCTGATCGCCTGCATCTCAGCCCTCGCAGATATTCCTAAACAAGGTGTCTAGTGTACGGAAGTAGTACTAATACACCAAAAATGCCAAAAACAAAGAGAGACCCTCCACTAACCTCTTGGCTACAGTCGGAAACTTTTACTCTCGAGGATTCAACACTCCCCTATGGGCAAACGTAAATGCCACTCTTACTCGGGAAATACAAAAAATATGCTTTCACCGAACGTGGAGAGGTAATTCTTACGCATTGGCGTTGCGCCTACAATTTTCGATGTAGGCAACATGGGCTCCCACGTGGTCGAATAGTGGTATCATCGTGAAACATCAGGCTCATTATAAGATGGAGTATAATTCAAATAAGTTTGCTGTACCAGTAAGTTTGAGTACAACAATAGTTTCGGTTAGCTGAGTTAAAACTATCCAGCCTTTTTTCTTTCAGCATGTCGCCGCTTTTCGCTCGAGCTCATTCGAACGCGTGGTTGCCCGATCAAAGAAGCACCATTAAAAACTACAATGGCTGTCGAAAAACTTCTCGAGACAGTTTTCCTTGCAGACGCGACCAAGTTTTAATAATCTCCAAACGACTCACTCAGAACGGAGTCATGTCGGTCGCCTCCCTTCCCCCCGCCCGCTCTCCGATCACCCCCTCCCCTCCTGAATCAGATTCCAAGGCATGAAACTGTCAAGTAAACTCCTAAGAGGTGTACATTTATCTCCCACGAACGGTATCGTAAGTCGTTGACTAATTTCACATTCGTATGCAAATGGTTATTACTTGTCCTCCAAGTTTTAGTACAAGAGCACGGGGAGATTTATTCCTTCGGCCCATGCCTTCTCCGCTTATTTCCCTTTTTTATTTTTCCCCGTATCTGATGACCCTCGCTTCTCGGCCTTCTCCCGACTATCTCCCGATCGAGGACCCGGTGGGGTGTGTGGTCGAAATCGAGAGGGGATGCCACGCCGGCCGCTCTGATTATTTAGGAACAGCTCAATTTCGGTTCCGAGCGTGTGAGCTGTGAACAATCGCTACATTATAACTCCGTTTTGTCGCTGTTCCCTCAGTCATTGTTTTTCGGTTGATATCTTCGGATTTGATTTTTCGTCCCTACATCCAATCACCCGATTCAAGCCCGGTCGTTGAGCGCCCACAATCTTCCTGCATCTCCGTACCCGTCTGGGTTTTATTGGTACTTTCTCTCGGTTCTTGCCTCTCTTAATTTGTCATCGTGTAGAGTTGATACACCAAATTCATCGGCCGTTAGATGTTCTCTCCCTCTTTTTTCACTTGTATTTTTGTTTATTTTATCGCACCCGTTTTGCCCTTGCAGCATCATGCTCTGATACTGTGGTCAGATAGTGAAAGATATGAACATTAATTTCTTTGAAGTTGCGGGTGTACCCGGAAAAGAGAGGTTTTACGGAACCGGGAAAAGTTCAGGGGGAAAATTAGGAAAGTTTTCCGTTGAATCGTGGAGTCAACACTGTAGTTGTCATTAATTTTCCAATTTTTGGAAGTAATATTATAATCGATTGCCTGTTAAAATTTCGTGACTTTATAACAATCTTTGTGTAAGAATATGAGGTGAGAAAATTGTCTGTGTGAATGTGTTCTTATTTATCTCAGGATGTAGCGTAAAGTCGTGAAGAGCAAATCCTGTCTCCGAGCTCTAGAATGAGGAATTTTTCTCACCTTCCTCATCCCCAGGGATCTAGCTGGGTAAATGTTTTGCTGTTCTGGAATACCGAGAAAAGTGAGGAGATTTCTCAGCCCAAGAAAGCTTGAGTTGTCTCCTCTCTGAATGAATTATCGTAATTTTCTGGACTTTAAGGAGGAGTACATTAAGAGGAATCCACGAGCTTCAGACGAATTAAGTTCGTTTCGGCTGAATATACGTTCACACAGAGGATGCGGTGAAATAATCGAGTCGGATACCACCATTTCACCCTAGCGGAGCGCATTTTGCCTACGCTGGAAGATGAAGGCGATTCGGTGCCCACGGTAGCTCCTTCTGTCGTTTCGTCGTAGTAATCGCGTTTCAATGCATGTATAACCGTGGATATTCATCGGAGTAGGCAGTCTCACCTAGAATAGATTATTTTTAGTACATTTTAATGCAGGAAAGACAGTGTAACCCGTTTAAGAGAATATTTGGACGTATTTCTGCCAAACGGAACTATGCGCAATACGACGTGAGCCGTGTTATGCATTTATTCTTATAGGTCTCAGGGTTCATGTCTTAATCAAAGACATAAAGACGGAGCACTAAAAGCAAAAAATGAAGCTTCTAGAGCTTCTTTTCAATCACCTCTACTATTGGCTAGAGGATTGGCGGCGAAATCGGGACAAGTTTGAATTCAAATGTAGGGCGGAAACTAGTAAATAAAATTGCGGAAACAAAGTATTTTAGGTTGATTTTTGCCCAAATTCAGGTACACACTCATATTTTTTTAACTTTAGGTTAGTTTCAGTCCGTCGTCGACCGATTAATTTCATTTGGGAGTAACGTTGATCTAGAACTGTAACGGCCTGTTTGAACCTGCAGAACCACCATGAGCAGAAGAAAAACTAACTTTATCTGAGATTACTGCCTGTTACCGAGCAAAAGTAGGTGTATTATATTAGGACGCAGACCGAACTTTCTTAGCATATTCGTTTTAGGAATTTAAAATACGTTTCAAAGAAGAAATGTGCAAAAATCAAGAGGACAAGTTCAAATCAAATTTCCGTTTGCCGCCATGGATTCCCGCGCTCATTTACACACTCACACAAGCGCGCAGCGCCGAACCTAGCTTCACTTTTTCCCCGTGCTTTTAGATACGAGCGCTCCGTCTTTATGTCTTTGGTCTTAATGCGTGTAGTTTCGCTTGACAGAAATACGTCCATTTGAAAAGCTAACGTCCTTGAATAGGTTTCTTTCAACTTCAACGTGACTCTTGGGCCTAACTTTTCCTAACCGAACGCTAACTGACGAGCCCCTCGAAGGAGACTGGTGAGTGTGTGTG